AGAACATTGATGTCAAACGAATATGCATCTTCATTCATCCTGATTTGTTTTGTGTGAAATCTACGTCTTTTAGTATCAAAACTACGTACTGTGGTCTTCTTTTATGTATTGCGTTATAACCTTTTGTTAAAAATCTGTACGTGATGGAGAGAAATGCATATCATTTTCGGATTCAGAGTACAGAGATTACAGTGGAACATGTAAAAATTTCAAGACAATAAAACCATCACAGGCCTGTGTTATCGGTGCAAATATTTTTTTCGTTATACTGTATTTTTTCATGTAACTTCAAAAATAAATTTAACTTCTGAAGAAAAAAAAGATATTGATAAACAAAGAAAATTTTGAAAATTTGAGCGCTACAAAAATATATTTAAATTATAGTAGGGTTTTAATTTTGTGAGATGTGCTGTCAGCAATTTAATACGTGTTCAATAAGCCATATTTGTTGTGTTTTTTCACGCCATGCCTACTTTTTCTAGTTTACCTCCATTTTGTTGAAATTGATTAAACTAAGAAAAATTACGATTCCTTCTACAGGCCACCTTTCACTGCATCAGACCCAATGAAAACATACAATATTATTCTAAAGGGTATCGATATGATTGACTTCCCGAGAAATATCAGTCGCAATGCCCAATCCCTTATTAAACGGCTGTGCCGGGAGAATCCCACCGAACGGCTTGGATATCAGAAAGGTGGTATCACTGACATTAAGAAGCATAAGTAAGTAATGAATATTATGGAAAAAAAAGTTGTAATGAATTATTTTATGTTTTGTGTCGTTAATCTAGATGTTTTGAACAGTCCACCCTCCTCCTCCGTCGGTATTAGAAAGACGAGTAAAACTGAAGGGATAGTACTGTATCCTTCTAGTTTCGAAACTACACTAAGAGTCATATGTATTTGACAATGTTGTTTGGTATGTTATAAAGAACAAACATACCTTCTAGTAAACGATGTATCAATATTGATGATGCACGTGAGATCTCAAACTAATCAGTTGAGATCCTAACCCTTAAGTAATTTATTCAACGTACTCATACAGCATTAGTCAAATCAAACTTACGTGTTAACTTCAGCGTGCTTATTACCTTGACAACTGTGACGTATAGTATTTTGTATATACCGAGCTGTGGGCTTATTAAATATATATTTTTTTAAACTAATTCTTTCACATAAATCTGTTATTAATAGCCATGTTTGTGGAAATTTTAAGTCAATCTTAGACGGGGGTTTTTGGGCAATTTTCTGACCCCACTCTTCATTTTCAGATGTGCTACAAATATATTCGTACCGAAAGTTTAGCTAATATTTTGTAACAACATAAAAGTTTGTAATGGTGGTTTAAAGACGTGTGTTTATACCTTGTTGGTGGCATACAAAAATATAAACGTAATCATATATACAAATTGCGATTCAACAACCCTATCACAAAAAAATAAGACGTACCTTAGAATAAAGGGCATTAAAAAAAAAAATCTGTTTGTTATACCTAGCGCCATCTGAAAGCAGATGTACTAACTTAACCTGATATTAAATATATATTTATTTTCCGTGTCATTTACTTTGATTCTGGAACCGTTGACCTTTCATTTACTCTGTATCAGAAGAACATTACTAATCTTCAAGTATATATATATATATATAAGGTGAACCGTGGTGTCTGTCCGAGCGTTCGTTTGAAAAGCTGAGCATGCAAGCAAAACTTAACATTCACTTTTGAAATGACGGAAGAACAGGCCTGAATAATGTTGATGCCAAACTTTATTTCTCAAGCAGGATATTCTACACTAAATTGTTAGTAACCAAATACATTAACATTCACACTTCAAAAATGTGACGTAACTTAAAGAATAAAAATGTGGATTTACCATATGTTATTGTTGAGCGGATCTTAGAATGACGCCCCTCCCCGGTAGCACAGCGGCATGTCTGCGGACTTATACTGCTAGAAACTGGGTTTCGATACCCGTGGTGGGCATAGCACCGATAGCCCATTATGTAGCTCTGTGCTTAACTTCAAACAAACAAACAAAATAATTCAACCCCGAAAAAGAAAAAAAAGAAAGAAATTTGTGTCTTTCAAAAGCACTCCAATAAATAGTTTTCTCTACTTGTGATTTATCCAATTTTTTAATGCCACGTATTTTCTAATTATCACGAATGCTCTTATTTTCTCCTTTTCAAAGTTACACACATATAATAAAATACATTTGTGCAAAACTATTCCAGTATTAAGACAACCTCGTTAAATTAATTAATTTAGTGAGAGAAAGAGGGACCTGTAACTGTTTTTATTTTGTTTTGTTTGTACAGTACTTGGGCGTGTAGGGAAAACAAGAGTCTTTTTTTAATTACGAACAATGAAGAGCAATTAATATTTTCATATCATTGTTCACTTACAACACTATGCACTGACATTATTTTAAATTTTAGATAAATTAAACAACTAATTTTGTTTAGCTTATGACTTCAGTATTCCTCCTTTTTTTTGCTTTGTTTTAAACATAAAAGAACTGTAAAAGGAAAAGAAATATGGGTCTGTTATAATTTTAAAAAACCGACTATGGTTCAGCTTTTGACATTTAATTTTTCTAACATTTAGCATATTAACAATTTATTTCAATGTTTTGAATGTATTTATTACATTCGAGAACTTTAAAGGTTTCATTCTTATTAATTATGGTCATGACTTCACGAAAAACAATCAAGAGCTATTTTCTTATATATATATATATGAATTAAAATTTGGTTCTTGGTACATTTTTTGTCAACTTAGTCTCATGACATTTTAACCATATTAAAAGAAATAAAAAATTAAATCTATGTTGCTAACATTTCGGTGCTTATTTCATCTATTAAAATAATAATAACAACTTACAGATGGTTCCAGGGATTTGATTGGGATGGCCTTTTGGCAAGGACGTTATCGCCACCGATATTGCCAAAGGTTTGTTTCTTATTTCTATACGAATACTGGGAATAGATCTTTAATTTATCGCTTTTTTATATCAAATGTTTAGATTGTTTTTATGCCTCTAGTTGAATAAAAGTATTGATGTTTCTGCTACGATTTCTGCATCACTAAGAACATTCTTCATATTTTTCAAGAAGCGCTGGAAAGATATGGTAAGTGTGAAAAAATATCGTTACGTATTTTTAGTTTCAAACGGTATTGCACAAAAAAAATGGTATGTGGCTTTTCACATTTTGATATTAAATAATTCATCTTATTATAAAAAATCTTTATCCCAGCCAGTCATTTCTTCTGGAGGATCATCGAAGTTTTTCGGGTAAGTGTCAAAATTAGAGGTATCTGCTGGCCCTCGAATCTAAACAATAATTCCAGTGTAAGTTATTATTATTCGTGATGTAGTAACCGCTCTTGTTGGTGATGCATAATAGTTTAGTTTTAAGTTTTAAAAATCGATAGGATTTATGATTATTATGCTCTTAGTTTAATCATTTAACCTGTTAGTATTACTTACTGCTTAATTCTAGAGACACGTTTTAATAAAACTGGTATCTTGAGTAACCGAGCTGTATATTCAAATGTCTTTAACTTCGTTAAAAAGAAGAATTTAGCTTTTAAGCGTTAAAAAAAAAGGCAGAAGATATAGTTAGCACAGAAAACCCAGTAGGAAAAGGACAAATAAGCATTTGATTTAATAGAGAAACGTAGTATTAATTGTACAACCTATTGGTACTCTGGAAAATGTGATTGCAACTACGGTTTCTTCCGATACCAAAGAACGAGGATTGGAAAAGTATAGAAATAATTTGTAAAAAAGTGCCAGTAATATTTGTATTTGTAACACCATGGCTCTTTTTTTTAAAGTTAATCATATCTAAAAGGGAAAACGTCTCACTTTTTTATCGTGAACAAAATGATAATATTGTACTACAAAACTACTTCAAGATAATGGTATTGTTAAGTATGACATTGAGTGATCTTTCTCGTACTGTGTTCATTTAAAAATTTTGGATAAAGTCATTTATACAGCGTTGAATGTATTTTGCTAAGCTAGAGCTGCCGTCCACTAACTAAACTTTTGAATCTTTGAAATGTCTTGGCTTTCTTTCAGTTTTGTAAGTCTAGTGCGTGCGTTAGTTAAAAAGGCTCTAAATATCCCAGCAGTAACATTTTACCCACCCACACCCTACTATCTCGTAAGAAATTTTGCTACTTTCTAGTATACGGCAGCCCCTTTCATAGAAATGATGTTACCATCATCATCATCACAGATTGAGTAATAACATTTTGTCAAACGTCAATGACCCAGACTTAATTAAATGATGTTTTCTTATTAAATGTTGCTTATTGTAATATTGATTGCAAAGTTGGGAAGTTGACTTGTGAAAAAAAAAAACTAATTTTTGCAACATGTGTGATTACCCTTAAGTAGAAACCTAGTAATTTCTTATTTGTTTATGAAATTCTACGTTCCTTCTTTATATTAAATTGTCCTTTATTTTTGACTTAACCTATTCTCGAAGCAATTAATACTAAATCTAAACCGAATTTGAGCTCCCGCCTCTTCTCTAATGGTTCTCGAATACCACAAGCTCTAATCTTCAGTTCAATGATTTTGATTTGGGAACTTTTAAGCTACGTTGTTAGTTCTGGTGATATTTTTACATATATATTGCGAAAGGTTTGCCTTTAGTGTGTATCTGTTACTATGAGCATAGTTAAAGTACATTTATATTGGAATACTAAGAAGATGAAATGTACTAACATTATTAAGTTTGGTAAGAATTTCGAGTTTTTCAGCAGCTAAGAATATATTAAATGTGTGTAAAATCTGACAACTTGTTTTTAATTACATCATTCTCGAACGATTACTGTCTATCTTACTGATGTCGCAATTCACAAGTGTAAACTTCTATAAGATAGGTATTGCCAGTTTAAAATTCATATCATCAAGATCTTTATTGTAATTCATTTATTGATATATGGTGTGTATGTAACGTTGTAACTGTTTGTTTCATGTTTATAATCACCAATAAAGCTAATGGAGATACTTTAAAGTCGATTTGTATATGCATCCAGGAAACAAAAAATACAATTTCACTTAGTTGTAGATGGTTCTGTACAATTATGGCACAGTCAAGTTTTTAAATGGCACTTTTCCTCAATTTCCACACCTTCTAGTTTTATGTACCTCTGGACTTTTTGTCCTTATAATACGTTTTAAAGTTTTGTTAGCCACTAAAACTTCGAACTAGCACATTTTAAATAATGTATATGTATACGTATTTATAGACACACACACACATACTGTAGCGTTACATCTTGAAAACTCTATATTGCCTCATTTACATATTTTATTGCATGGAATAAATGTTCTGTTCATCTGATATAACTTTTTTTCTCTCTCTCGCTATAAGCCCGAAAATAATTGCTTTTAATGCACGTAAACTTCGTACAACTTTTCTTAGATTTTTTTGAACGCTTCGAGTCACTCCTATAACCTTTCATTTCCCAGTTGTATTGTCTACACTACAATGAGGCCTGTGAAACGATCTGATGCTTTTCAGATTTCATCGGAAGCAAGTTAGAATTATCATGAATTACACATGTATATAACACAGGCCTACGATGGTTTTATTCTCTTGATATTTTTACATGATCTACAGTAATTCCTGTACGCTGATTCCGAAAATGATATCCATTTTTTTCCCATCACGTATCGATTTTTCACAAAACGTCATAACTCAATACATAAAAGGAAGACCACAATACGTAGTTTTGAGACTAAAAGACGTAGATTTCACACATACACACGAATCAGGATGAATGAAGATGTATATTCGTTTAAGATCAATGTTCTAACCTTTTCTTCAGTTTGTTTGTATTTTTGTTAACAAACACAATAATAAAAAATGTCCATTAGGATAAACGAAATAATAATTTGATTTAAGTAATAGCTTTCTTTCTTCCCGATTTGGAAAAAATCCTTACGTGGTAGAAAAACATGAATGTTATTTTCGAAAATCTACGTGGCTGAATTATGGAAAATCAGTTATTAAAACCAAAATAACTTTTATGAAGTTTAAATTCGCAGACTTGTGTTATTGGTCTATACGAATTTAGTTCCAAGTCGTCTTTAGCTCTGTGTGTTAGCGTTGGCTTAGGTGAAGAATTTTGTGCATATAATATATCTTTATTAGAAAGTATAGGTAAAAAAAAACACTAAGTCATGTAGCTCAAATATAGAGCTGGGTGCTCTTATTACATTTTGACAACTTGGTTACTAGATTAGTATCAAGTCGTAAAAAATAAAAATTAAAAAACAGACAAAAAACATTTGACCTACAACTTAACAGCGGAAGATAGATAACCAAAACCACCACCCAAAATGAATATATCCAGCATGTAATCATCATGATGTGCCGTCTACCTCAGGAAGGTTGGCTATCACAATCCTCCACTTATTTCCCACTGTCCAAGTATCTTTCTGCTATTGTAATACGCAGGTTATGACTTAAAAATTAAACTTCACAGTAACTACGTTCAGATTGAACTTCTAGAAGTATTTAAATTCTTAAATCGTTCCATTTCTTAAAATGTTGCGTGACAGTGCTAAGATGTGAATAGCAAAACAATCATGTGGTTTATCCATATACTTAATACACATTACGTATATTGAGACTATGGGTTTATCATGATCAGTTTGAAGTTGAATGAAGCTTCAGATTGACAAGTAAGATCCGTGGATTTGTATCAAGGAGGGCTTTGAGATCAGACACGTAATATACCGATTATCTTGTCCGTTTATTTACTTTACTGAAATCGACTGGTTTTGTTTGTTTTTGAATTTCGAGCAAAGCTGCACGAGGGCTATCTGCGCTAGCCGTCCCTAATTCAGAAGCGTAAGACAAGAGGGAAGGCAGCTAGTCATCACCACCCACCGCCAACTCTTTTACCAACGAATAGTGGGATTGACCGTCACATTATAATACCCCCACGAGCATGTTTGGTGGGACGGGGATTCGAACCCGCAACCCTCAGATTGAGAGTGGAGCGCCCTAACCACCTGGCCATGACGGGCCTCGACTGGTTTTATAAGTACGGAATAAGAACGTTTCACGTATATTACTGTCATATATATATATATAGAAGTATTTTTCCTGTTATTTTCACAAAATCGCATAAACTTTTTATCCCATTTGGAAAACGCTTTACTAAGGGCCACATGGAGATATTTACTATTAATGCCAATAAATGTTAAAAAAATACAGTAGGAATCAGACTTTGCGTATTAATACAAATAACCAAATACTTCAAGTATTTTTTTTCTTTCATTTTTGTAACTGCATGTCCAGCAGTGAGAAATAAAATTGTCTTTCGTAACACAATTCACGTTTGAGTGCCGTCCTTGAAAATTGCTACCCGGTATTTCATCAATTGTGTGAAGTGATGGTTTCGTTAACACGGAACGTTTTGAATACTAATCGTATACTTTATCAGTAATTAATGGTGAAAAATAAGTTTATAACGTGGTTGTTCTATGATGCTGATTATCAGGAAATTACACTTTTAATTTTTGCTTCATGATTTTATGCATTCAGTACGCTCACTTATAGCACTGTCTCTTAAGCCTAAACTATATCTTACCCGGGAACATAAAATGCGTTCCAACATTTTCGAACTCTTCTGACAGTGAAACGTAATTTATTAAAACTATTCCGTGTAAGGTTATAATCAGGCGCTTATAACTGCCTTTTATAGTTGGACATTCAAGTGCGTCCACGTGTTTGACCAAAATTGGGGGGGAGTAAAGGCTCTTAAACATGAAATTATCATATACTGTTATGTCTTTGTTGGCATTTTTCTATTATGAAACACTTTTAGTAACAAATAATATATAACAAAACCCTTATCAAGTTTGATTGTTACATTAGTATATATTAGAGATTTCCCTGTTCTTCGACCATTTGATAACACTTTTTTTTAAATGGTTGGCATCAATATTATTCACGTGTCTCCTTTCCACCAGCTATGAAGACTACTGTAGCAATGACTACATTACAAGTTGGTAACCAAATCTAGAAGAATCTTTGTTAATTTATTCTTAAGTGTAGAACCGCACAATAGACTATTAGTACTACATCTACCAGAAGGATCTAATCCCAAATTTTAGTTGTTACAAACACTCAAGCTTACCACTGAGCTATCAGGAGGCAAGTCTGGAAGATCTTTCAAATTGTAAAATAAGTTTAACTTCGAGAAGTTATTTATTGTTGTGCTGTCACTTAAAAATGAGTAGTGGAATTTCAAAGCATTAGTTTAGTTAGATGTGTATCTGTTTTACTGAAAGAAGTTCTCACACAAGATATTTTCATGAATGCATACCTATTTAAACAATATAAGCACTAGTTTTGCCTGTACTAAATTTTTTCAAATAGAAATAGATAACACATTACATCACCATCATTCAGTACTTGTGTTCTATTACTAACTGCTAATTTCAGGTAAGCAGTAACTCACAGCTAGTTTTAAAATATTAAACCTTAAACATTTGTTGCAAATGTAGTTCATTTTATGAGGAAATAAAACTGTCACAGAAGACACTGCCTAGCATTAGCAGAAGCCAAGTATTTTAGACAGGGAAATTTCCATAAGGTTATTAATATTCTGGAATGGGAGGGAGGGGGCAAACGTTTTTCAGCCAATTCTTTTGTCATTTTATGTAGAAACCATTTCTGCCACTTCAAATGGAATTCTTTTGACATAGTTTAAGCATGATTTCCCTAACTAATGCATAAAATTAGTATATTTGTAAAACCAGTACACATATTAAGTATAGTAATAACATATATTAATTTAAGGTGTTTCTTGTAGGTATAGTTTTTATTCCAAAGTGTAACTTATACTATCTCATGCTAATTATGAGCATTTAATAAGTTTCAAATCTGATATTTTGTAACACTGGAATGCATATTTTACATAACTTGTCAATTTGGAATGTTTCCTCAATTTATCTCAATCCTACACTTGTAGTTTTCATTCCATTTATTTCGATAATTATGAATATTAATTCCCGAAAGTCAGGAAGGGAAATTAAATGTAACTTAGTTTGGCCATTTGACATAGGATAATTTTATCCATGTGTCATATGCTATATACATACAACAGAGAGAGCCGGTTAACAAGTGATAACCATCACACAATAATTCTTCCTCTATCAGATCATGCTGCTTCTCTTTTCTGTCTAAATGGGCAGAAAGCATTGTCCTGCATGTCTTATGGGCCTTAGGGACTTCTGTTTCTTGTATAGTTTGAAGTCAATTGTAAAAATGTGTAAAGAATTCTCGTTCATCAGTAATCCTAACTCGTGCCCAACATCTTATTTTGTCTTTGATAGCTTGTGGGGCTGTTGACCCAATATTTTCCTTTTATAATCTGAAAACACAGGAAACATTTGATTCTCTCTGGGTACACTCCAAGATAAGGTTTTCAGTAAACATTGTCTTATAAAATTATTATAAATTAGGTATTAAATGTGCCGATTTATATTTGAAACTTAAAACTACATACCAGATTAAAATAGTACAGCCTGAAACAGATGGAAATACAACTTTTATAACTAATCATGCTAAATATTCAAATTAGCTCACTTAACTGTTTTGGTTCTCAATAGTCCTGGTAAATGTTTGTTAAAAGTCATAAGTATTTTAGGACTGTTTGGACTTTTGATGGATTGCTATGCTTTCAGGGTGCATTTTCAAAGTGTGTGACCGACTCTGTTATGCACATAGATGACACATAGATTAAATTATCCTATGTACAATGGCCAAATTAAGTTAACCTTAATCTACCTTTGGGAGGGATAATGATCTGAAAAAGTTAGTTTTTATAATTTGCATAATAAATTGAATAAGAAAAATAAATTTAGGATTGAAATACATTGGAGAAACACTCCAAATTGGTATAATTATAGAAAATTTGCATACCAATGATACATGTATTAGATATGCATATTAGCTTATCAAATATTCATGATTAGTATGAATATAAGCCATGCTTTGGAATAAAAACTACATAAATAAGAACTCAAAATAGCTTCAAGAAACACCCTATGTTGGTGTATCATCATTATATTGAATCTGTGGTACTAGTTTTACAAGTATACTCATTTTATACATTAATCATGCAAATTAGGCATAAGCTATGTTAACGAACTTCATTTGAATTTTTAAAAGTCTTTTTATCACACCAGATGGCATCTGTGGATTTATTGACTCAAAAACACGTGACTATGGACTGAAACACTCATAAATGCATATTAAAAAATTAATTACACAAATTAAATGTGCAAACACTTGAAGTAAACCTGGCATAAATAGATTCTATTGGAAAAATTACACAAGTATCAGTTGAGAAAAGTTTAAACTCGCAGAATATCAATAACTTCAAATATTTTCCTGTTTATTTATTTTAATATATATACATTTTCTTCTTCAAAATGGACAACCAAGTAACAGATACTTGTTAAAAACTGTAATTGTTTCTACCAAACACTTTATTGAAGTGAAAATAATATTTACAGATTATTTTCCATGTTTGAAAACTCTTTACTACTTGTTTACTAACTGTTCTGGACTATCTGAAGAACATGATTTACTGAATTTATCAGCAACTGCATCCGGACTTTTCATGATCTCGCATCTTAGCTTCTGCTCGTCCGAGTTTTTCATCAGCTCCTCCAATGACTTCTTTGATACTTTTTTTATTTTTATTGCTGGTAAATATTTAGCATCTCCAGTCCAACATCTGTAAAATTGAAAATATCAATTGTATACAAAATAATAACAATAAGGCAAACCATTCCTACTGTGAATGAAGTAAATAATTTACCAGGTATGTAATCTTGTTCAATGATCTTGCTATACACAAGTAATAAATTTCAAAATAATTACAATTATAAAATCACTTTTATCAGTAAAAACCATGCTCATCAAAAAATTCACACATTTTATAAAGTTCAGTGTAAGATAAGTAGTTTTACTTTTCATTAATTTTGATTTTACTAATAAAGTGATACATATGATAGTCACGCTTAAAAATTAATTGGGAAATTAATGGCAGAAAAATTTCTTCACAGTATTTGACTAACCTGTATAACACTTGAGAATTACGAGTTTCCTGTTATTTCATAAGAAAACTTTATAGTTGGAAGGATATCAGAAGATTTTATTACTAAATTACTTCTTTCCTCAGAATGAAACAAATATTACTCTGTATTTTGTTTCCACATGATAACAAACCCAAGTCATCATTATTAATACAAAATCACTTGATACTGCTAAGTTTACAGTAAAATACAAGTTCTTAGTATCTCTGACCAAACAATGTAAAACATACATAATGAAACCAAATTCTAAGATTAACTTGTTTCTTGGCAATCATCAAACTAAATTTTGTAGTTTCTTACAAGCTTATAAACGATTTGAATCTTGAAGTGTTTGTTTGTTTTTTTTGCTATTGCAATACATCATGAGGTATTTTGTTACTTCCAGAAGTAAGGTACAGTTAAGAAACTCCAACTTTTAGTCTTTTCTTTCTTTCAAAAAATAAACAGACAAACAAATAAAACATCAGTTGTATAGTTATACACAGCCAAGACACCAACACATTATACAGCTTTTAGGAAGAATACAATTAGACTCTTCTAAGATCATTTTCAGATTAACTACAATATTATAAATTATTTAGTAGCACATAATTAAAAAAAATTCCTGTCATTATGGTCATGTGCTACATGAGCCAAAAAATTGCATTAATTGAAATTGCTTTAAACCATGAATATTTCCAAAGCTTCTCATGATTTTGTTCGTTGTATAGTATGAAGTTACACAATGGGGTTCTGTTCTGTGACTACCACGAGTATCAAAACCCAGGTTTTAGTGGTATGAGCCCTCAGACATACTGAGCCACTGGGGGGCTCCCACAACTTAATGAAAATCATAATTTTTTTTTACACTTACGGTTGTGGAATATAAAGAAAAAGGATTTAAAAAATGTTAATGCATACGTGCAACCTTGATTACATTACTCTAACTTTACTGTTCTTGTTTTCCAATTCAAACATTTTCTCAGCTGTATAAGCTATAAACTAGAAAGAGTGTACACAGTAAGTTTTTAGTTATCTCTTTCTATATAACAATTCCATTATATTTCTAGAATCTGTCCTTCCAGTATTCCAATAAAAAAGTTAATTCAGAACCAATATAATGTTTTTTTGAGATGACTTTTTTTCTAACTGGTATAATTTTACTGACAATAACAGATGAATGTGATTTCCTGTTGCATTAAAAAGGCAGTTTAAAAGTGCAAATTAATTTTAAGCTGATAAGTTTTCACACAGTTTTGATTTGCGTAATATCCATTTTGGAACAATGAGTTTTATTTTTTTTTTAAGATTTAGACTTTAAGCTTACAAGTTGGTCTATAGCCTACTTAAGGAGGGGAAGTGGGTCACAGGGTGGGTTAAACCTTATTTTAAATGCATGTGAAAACCACCAAACTTCAGTCATCATTTAAATCAATCATCAACACTGAGTGGTACAATAAATCTTTTCTATTTATTTGAAATTCCCTGTTAAATAAATTTTCTAAGTAAAAAAATATATATCCAGCATATTTTGTTTAATGCTGAAATATTTAAGAGAAAACTAACAACAGCAAATTTTACATGCCTGATTCATCATAGAACTTTTTCTGTTGATGTAATACGATAATAGTAATTACAAGCTAATGTGTGAATAAATATTCCTCCTTGTAACACTGTTATGTTTTCAAAGCATATTTTTGCATACTGCTGCCTACTATCAAATACATACTACTGTGATCCTTCTAAGTGGATATTAAACACATTTCACTGCTTGTTACTAACATAATAATCATAATTAAATAAAAATTTACATCAATAAATTTTCAAATCACATTTTACCACTGCAAAATGAAATTAGTAAAAACTTTAAAACTCTAAGTTACATATTAAGAGTTCTGTTCTCATTTCCCAGAGAATTACAAAATGAGACTGGTTGCATCTGGATTCACGGTAGTTAAATTTGTTAGACCATTTGCCCAGTTAAATGATTTGTAGTTTCAAATCCCTTTTCTACATTTACCTTTTCAGAAAATTTGTGACTGTACAGGAAATTGTGACACCCTTAAGATTTCTTTAACATTAGAAAAAAAAATTCAGGAATAAAACTATTAAATCTATAGAAAATATAAAAGAATTCCAGATGCTGTGACATCATAAAAGGGTGATAATGAAGTGCTGTAGAAATAAAACCACTAATCAAAGAAGTAAAATCACAATGAGAAATAAGGTGTTAATCATATTTACAAGGGCTGATAGTTTCTTAGCAAATATAAATTTATATCTTCAAGGAGTAGAAAAATTATATTAAAAAAATCAACAAAGGTGTTGCTTACATACAAGCCCATTGGAGCTTGTGCAGGAATGAAAGTTACATTTTTCCTGCAAATGTTGCTAAATAAATGTTATAAAATAATGTATCAATTCTAAGATATTTTTGAGCTGAAAATTGCTTAAACAGAATGAGAATTATTGTTTTAAACTAAATTTTGAAATTCAATATAAAAGTTTACACTTGACACCTGAAAAATGCACACTGGTCATAAGATTAATGAGACTGTATCAGGTATTTTTTTTAAATATTCAACAAACTTTTGCAATATTTTTTCATATTACCTATCATGTTACAGCATATTATAAAGTAAACTAAAGGTAAATAAATAAGAAATTTTTTTATTATTTGACCCAGATTTAATAAAAGAAAGTTAAATATTCATCACTATTCTAAATTAATATTCAAAGGCCTACCTAAAATACTGATATGCCTTCTTGTCTAATAAATCTGGTATTTCTGGAAAAAAGATTGAAAGTTACCAAACAAAATAAAAAAATAATATTAAGTTCATATTTATTTATTTTCAGTTTCTGAACTGCAAGTTTAATGTTTATCACATATCTAAAATTATAAAAATCTGCTTAAAATATAAGATCATATAATCATTTCTGCTAAATATCTTAACAAGATGTATACAAGTAAATATTTTCTTAAAAGTACATAATTCAAATTTATGAACACATTTAGAGAAAAAAATAAAAATACATTACAAAAGCTATTCTCTGAATATCTCTACAAAATGCACTTAAATGACCCACAGTGAAGAGAAAGTGATGTTCAATTAATGATAATTTTACTTTGTTTGTTTAGTTTTATTTCTGCCTAAATAAGAAAATATTACAAAAATTATTTCAATTTTAGAATTAGTGATATTAGTCTCCCACGTAAAGTTTCAAAAATGTATTCGGCGAGTTATTTTCTTGCTTACATTTGTCATTTTCTGGTGAATTTCTTTAGAATGTAACTTTCCAATTACAAATTGTTCACTCCTTTATGGTATTTTTCATGTAAACAATATTAAATATACATCTGACTTGGATATGAAGAAGTTTCCTACCAAGCCGGTACAAAATAATAGTTTTAATTTTTTGGTGTCTTACATTTTAAATATTGAATTTTACCAAGAAAATAAAAAATAAAAAGGAGTTCTGGTGAGATCTCAAACTTATAAATTAAGTTTGACATACTAAAAACCTCAGTGGTCATTCAACCACGAGGGATGTAGATGTCAATGTCCATATTCCCAAATAAGATTAAAAACTGCTTCATCTTAAAACTATTGTCACAAATAGATTAATAATATACTAAAATATTAAGAAATACCTAAAGCTTTTCAGATCTTGCAGAATAAAAATATAATTTATAGTTATTCCCACTAAACACCAGTCAAAGTGATCATTTAAATGGAGAAGTTCCTGCACTGTAGTTGGCTATTATTTTAATACAATTCTTAATGATGCATTCATTTGTTATGGTTTATTATGTTATTACTAATGTTGGAAAAATATTCCTTAAAATTATTATTACAAATCAATATTCTTTGTAACTAGTCAAAGTGGCTAATTTATTGTTTCTTAAATAGGAAATATAACACATGTTAAGTGAATTATATAGATACAATTTTACTGTTGTGCAGATGATGCATTACACAACCAGACAGACTTTCTAATTAGTCTGAAATCTTTACCAAGACCACTACTCTCAAACTCCCTGTTCTCTTGCTCTAAAGTGAAACGAATGCTGTCTTTTCGAGAGATATGTTGTTCAGTTTGTCGTCCTTTGATGCCATTGATTATTTCGATCTGTTCTATTTCTTCATCAAAACGATGCAGATACCTGATTTGTGGAGGTTATAAAAATAATTATTCCAACTACGTATACATATATCAATTTCATCTGTTTAAAACTTTAATCAATAAAGTTTCATAAACAATCAGAACTTATGAGATTATCAGTAAATGCTACCCACAATTAGTTTATAATTGTATAGGGTTTCCACCCTAAAGATTATAATAATAATGTTTCTCAAAGTAATTTTTTACCTAACAGCATCAGTGACAACTTACTTTAGTAATATTCCCATTCCTGTGAAGATGTTCATTTTGAATTCTTCAAGTAATGCTTTTTCACAACATAAAAATCATGATAGGATTCGTTTCTTTAACAATACAACATTAGTTCTAGCAAAATAGATCTTTGGTATGGTATATTTCAATGTTTACAACTTTGTATCTGCCTTTGATTGAATCCACCTGAAAACCATTGAAAAAATAAAAGTTGTGTCTTGAATGTCAGAAACTGTATCAAAAATGAAGTAAAAGCAATGTCTAAATATGAATTCATTTCAAATTTTCCAGATAATGTGTTTGAAGTTTGAATCAAGAATAAATAACAAGTAAAGAAATGATAAGTCTTGCCTAGTGACACACCATCTACATAGTTATATGTAAACTGTTTTACTATCCACTCTATCCAGAATAAATAACAAGTAAAGAAATGATAAGTCTTGCATAGTGACACACCATCTACATACAGTTATGTGTAAACTGTTTTACTATCCACTCTATCCAGAATAAATAACAAGTAAAGAAATGATAAGTCTTGCCTAGTGACACACCATCTACATACAGTTATATGTAAACTGTTTTACTATCCACTCTATCCAGAATAAATAACAAGTAAAGAAATGATAAGTCTTGCATAGTGACACACCATCTACATACAGTTATATGTAAACTGTTTTACTATCCACTCTATCCAGTACAACATTCACCAGTCTCTTTATAACCTTATTAATTGCCACTACTCTAATTGTATGCTTTGTATATTAGTCTTAGTAGAATATTAAAAATATATTAAGAGAAATATTCTTTCCAAGAAACATTTAAATACCTGATTTACTACATTCAAATACAAACAAAAAATGTCCCCAGTGTTTTCACATTACCTATTCAATTCATACTCTTTAGACCATGTACCAAAACTTTGTCTTATATCCATGAAACTTTTGAACAATGGATTTTAAAACAAAGAATACTGTACTATGGATGAAGCCTGAAATAACTGAGTAAAGTAAAAAAAACATTAACTTAACAAAGAAACAAGACAAGTTGTTAACTTAAAGCCAGGAATTTGTTTCAGTTACCCTTCACTCTTTTTTTTTTTTCTTTACTTTCCTCATGCTTACTCGTATTTTACTTGTTATATTTAAATTTTTTCTTAGTTTAATAATTTACTGCTTATTCAATTACTAAACACCCTATAAAATTTTTTTAAATTTTCTTAAAATTATAATAAATTAAAAACGTTTTATATTTACACAATAAAAACTTTATTGTGTAAATATAAAACG